CGATCCCACAGGACCGGGCCTAAATCGGCAGTCGGACATCCCCCAAGGGGTCCCAGATTGGAGAGGGTGCAGGCTGGGCTGAGGGACACCCCCCCCACACACGAATTTCATGCACCAGGCCACTAGTAAGAATTATAAATGTGGTAAATGCTATTAAGGAAACGAACAGGCTTTACCACAGATTAGTCTCTGAAAGCTGAATTGTGTAATTCTAAAACCTAAAGATAAATAATTCATGAAGAGTTACATCAAGATGACATGGATTCTACAGATCTTTGCTAATGTACAAAAATTACAGACATTGCCCATAAAAACAAAGATCAATCTGTCATTGTCAAAGCTATTGGATGGCATTACTTAGAAATATAGTAACCTCAAAAGATATTAACCTCACAGTTACATAGAGTTAAAAATAAAAAGCATATAAACAATCCTAAGAAATATTCTAAGAGGAGCTTAAGAAGATAGGACAACTAAATATGTTATCCAGAAATTAATGCTGAAACAAAAAAAAAGACAAAAACTAAGGAAATCTGAATAAACTATGGACTTTAGTTAATAATGTATTATTAGTTTATTAATTGTAACAAATGTGCCATACTAATGTAAAATATTAATAATACTGAAAACTGGGTGGGGCTATATGGAAACCCTTTGCATGATCTTTTCAATTTTTCTATAAATATAAAACTGTTCTGGCCCTGGCTGGGTAGTTCAGTTGGTTAGAGCATCATCCAATATACCAAGGTTGTAGGTTCAATTCCTGGTCAGGGCAAAAACAAGAATCAACCAAAGAATGCATAAATAAGTGGAACAAGAAATCAATGTCTCTCTGTCTCTATCTGTGTCAGTCTCCCTCCCTGTCACCATCATCCCTCCTTTCCCCTCCCTCTAAAATCAATCAATCAATAAAAAGAAAAGAAACAAGATTATACTTACTTCAGGAAAAGTCATAAGCAAAGAGAAGGCTACATTTTTCCTTGGTAAGAGGGGGAGGGAAAATATTATGTTGAAAAGGAGAAAAATAATTTCTCAGATCCAACTGGAAGCAATTTTGCAACTAATACTAACCTAGTTAGTGTTAGTATACATAATTCAAGTTCTGAACTTGTATCAGTTATCTTCTTTCCAACCAAAAGATAACAAATGTTTTCTATAACCTAACCTTTCTTTAAAATAGAGGGTAACTCAATGTTTGAAGAGTTGGGAGAAACTAATCTCTCAATGAGTGAATTCTAAAGATGACCATGAAAAGTGTGAGAAAAACAATGGATTATAATCTCTAAACTGCCAAGTATCAAGTTTGCATAATACAGCATAAAATTGGAATTACCACAGGAAGTAATTTTAGACACAACCATCACAATATTAGGATCCTGTATCTAACACAAACTACAGCGACAGCAGAAGCCTGACCAGGTAAATGAGATAACAATTTCACTTATCAGATACTCTGGAATATTAAGCATAAAAGAGTCATTTAGCTGAAGAGATATTACATATTAAATCTAATTTAGAAAACTAACAAGATGAATCAATCCCTACTCCAACACTCTCTAACCCCAAGGGAAATCCTCCAAACAAAGATGTTCGTTATTCTCAAACCTTCTCTCGCAGGAATTGTAAATATATGATTGGAAAATACTCAAGAAGAAATGGGATAACTAACAGTTTCCCCAGTAATTCCTGTTTGCACCCCCGTGAGGACAATCAGACACCGCTTCATAGAGAAACGAGAAAAAGGAGAGGTGAGATGTGAAAAATTCCAAGCAAAACGATCATGACATAGCATCTGGCAGAGGTCGGGAAAGCACCAACACTGTCAAAAGAACTGTCAGGAATGAAAGTCAAGAGAAGAAAAGGAGGTTTTCCAACAAGCCACAGCCTAACCCAAGGGGCAAAAATCGCCACTGCTGCCGCCACCCCCCCCCCCCCCCCCCCCCCCCCACACACACACCTCCCACTACTCCATCCAGTCGCCTCCAATTCAGATACCTCTCCTCTATAACCCAGACGAATTCCCCACCCAGGTGAAAACTATCCAAGAATTTTATTCGACCCCCACTTCCATTAGATCCGCACTTCTCAGGGCCCAGCCTCTGGGGAAAACAACGCCCAGATCCCACTCGCCTGGCCCAAGGCTGCAGGGGGCTGGTTCCCGGTTCCCGGGAATGGGCCTCGCCAGGGTGGGCCTCACCGAGCCCAGGCGCTGGGACACGAGCAAGGAATAAGGGTGGGGCTCCAGGAAGGGGGCTGGGTGGGTGAGACGACGGAGACCGAGGGAAGAAAGGGAAGGACAAGAGGCTGGGGCTGGGCGGAGTGGGAAGGGGGCTGGGGAGGGGGACCGACGGAAGGAGGCCGGGCTGCGGGGAAAGGAGACGCCGGAGCCGGGGACGAAAGGGTCAAAATCCGACTGACGGGTCGAAGCGAAAAGGCACCGGTGGCTCCGAGGGGTCGGTG